CACACACCAATCGCTGTGATGAAAGCAGCATTAAGAAAAAGAGCATAATACATATATGGAAAATATCAATGACCCAGTAGGAAATTTGTGGCTCAATAATGTACAAATTTTTTATTTACTTGATTAAGATATCAAGTAAACATATTTTTATGCTTTCATTTGATGGGTAGTAATACTTCCAGCGTGTTAGTATTTCTTGACATTTACGATTTAGTAAAATACACTATCTGTAAAGCTTTTATATGCAACTCATTTGATTGGTATCACAGAAAATAGCATTTAAAATTTAAGTGTAACTGCTTTTCCATCTCTCAAGCAAATTACAATGATAAGTCGAGTCGTGTGAACAGATGTTATTACTTTTAATATCAAATGTCAATTTAAAGTTTGTGACGGCTGATATTAAAAATAAAACTCTTGTGTGAATAAACTAATATATTACTTAATTCACTTGAATATAACTTAAGTAAATGAAAGCTAATTTTTTTTAGCTTTATATTAACTATAATTTCTTGAACATTGAAAGTATTTAGACTGGAATTGGAGGATTTCTGTTTTTAAGAGTTACTCGCAGACAATAACAAATTAAACCTCTTAGGAATTAAAGCATGATTTTGTCTTACATTGAATCGTTTATATTTAAAAATTATAATTTAAACTTTAGATAACTTTCAATTTTTAATTTTTTGTAAATACTTAGCTAATAAACACAAAAAGAATTAAAATACAGCATCATCAAACTCGTTATTTGTAGTTCCACTGTTATTGAAATCATTAATAACTTATTCATTACAAATTCTTTTAATTAAATCATAATTGTATTATAATGTAATTTATATAAATTAATAACATTATGATATTGAATTGTGTTGTTTGCCCTTGAGAATATGCCCAATCTTTAGGTCCTGCATGACATCATTGCTTACTATATGAAAAACAAGTACAATATTTGTTATAATTGTGCAAAAGCTTTTTTTAATTTTTTAGATATTAGACCCTTTCAAAAATAGAAACTAACTGAAAAACAAAGAAATTCTTATATGAAGTGTCTACAGTTTACTCTGAGTAGTTAACTGCTTTATGAATAAATATGTCTATTTAATATTTAAGAAAGGAAAAAATGACGAAATAGAGATAAAACAGAGAAATCGAAAGAGTATTAGAAAAACAGAAAATGTTTATGCAACGTGACAATAAAATTTATAAAAACACAACATTTACTCTAACCCAAAATAATATTATATTTATGTCTCTGGGCCTTATAACAAAATATTATAAGTAAGAATTTTAAAATTAAGAGTTTTATCAACGTCCATCCAAAATTTATTAAAATATATTTTGTAGCTCATATTATGCATAACAATATTAGGATTCAATAACAGTTACAAAATAAGTTTCATGAAAAATAACTTAAAGAAGATTAATCTCGCATTGTATAAACCTTGAAGTCATACCATAAGTTGTTAGAGTTCAACCTTCAGACGAAAAATGACAAAACTTAACGATATGTAACCAAGTTGGCTTCATTCTTTTTAAAGCAAAAGCCAGTAGCCTCACTGAGATGCTACGTAAGACATCAGTCTTTTAATTTACTAAAGGGTCAAAGCCGATAAGTAAACCATGGTACGAAAATGTGCCCATCTTACACCATACCATATTAGTCTTATTGAACTGAAAAAGTCAAATGAGAGATATTATTAGCTTAAAAGTGGAATACACTAGCCGGCCGGCCGCCTAGTTAAGACAGGAAAATAATATTTCTCTCCATACGTTCTGTCGCAACTGTTTGTAAGACGAAAAACAATGCTTTATGTCTCCATTTTTGGAACCCATCAAATGCATAATGTGTATAGATTTATTTTCTACAGCATCTTATACTGTTAAAAGATCTCGCCAGGAAAAACAAGATAATTTAAACTGAATGATTTTTTACCACTTTATTCCATATAAACATACAGTTTATGAATAAATCATACTTATATGGGTATGTTAAAATAACAGCAGGAAAAAAGTACCAGGAAACACCATTAAAATGAAAACAAAATAAAGTAATATCAAATAAATTCGAACAAAAAAACTTCAAATAAAATAAAGAAATGTCTATTAAAATATAATAGAATAAAGTATAACAAAATCAAATAAAATAAAGTGAAATAAAATAAAGTAAAATAAAATTAAATAAGTAAATAAAATAAAATAAATCT